CATATGGTTACAATGGCTATTGCTCTATTTCTTAAATGCTAGCAAATATATATATATATAGGTCTTAAAAATGATTACAGGAAAAAGGTAAGGATAGAAAATAGAAATAATGGTACCAAGTGACATCTTAATCTTTAAAGAGCTCTAACACTATGTATATATATACTTAAGCAAAGGACCACATCCAGGTACAATTTTTACCCCTTTCTGTGCCTCTCGACTCCAGCGGCTCAAGCCAGGGCCGGTCCCTCAATTCCTAGGAAAGACGAATACGAGGTGGGCATCCCCATGGAACCTCGGGAGGTCAAACACCTAACCCGACCAGCAGATAGATGGTAAATTGACACTCAGAGTAAATGTGCTGCTGGACCCATCTTTATACCCATAGGGGCCCATATCTTCTTTCTTATCTAAGATGCCAAATTGTACTGGTACGTTTTGTGGCGCCAGTTCTTACAAGCAAGTTTCAAATTATTTTACACTTGCAAGAGAGATAACTAAATTGTGAATACTAGACATTTTTTTTACTGGGCAAGAGATTCCTCCCCCCCCCGCGGATGGATGTGTGTTCGTATCAATATGGGTTTCAGTCAAGGGCACTCCTTGGCAGCCTCTTGGTCAGCAATTGGCATATCTCTGTTTACAGCCATTCACGGTCACACAGCCTGGACCTTCTGCTCTGTGTGCCCAGGATGCTCCAGGCAAGCAAAAATGGATGTTACAAGGGGGTTCCTGTCTGGCTACAACATGTCACTACCAAACATTCAAAATACATAAGCAACAACATCTAAAAACTTATTCTTACTAGCACGTTCTTATTATCTGCATTTGTAAAGACATCTAATGGTGTAGCATCTCAAGGTGCTCTAGGAGCCTGCCAATACCAGAAGATTAAAGAGTTTGCAAGCTCAGTCTCTGATCCTGCTATTTGATACAAATCAATGGAGTTCCACAGAGATGGTAGAACCCAGAACTAGAAGAAGGAGAGTTTACAGGATGAAGAACAGAGGGACCACAGTTAGGGTACAGCTAGACTGCGAGGATCTATCGGAAAAAGATACGCAAAATGCGCTCTTTTAGTTTAGAGGTTTTTAGTTTGTTGCCATTCTTCTAAATTTTATGTAATGTAAGAAGGATCTATATATTACTCCCTACATATCCCTGATATTTACAGAAAGCAAACAGGAGCAGACAATTCAAACAGACAAAGTAATACCTAGGGCACAGGGGCAATCATAAGGCCTGGCAATTCAAAAGGCCCTGGGGCCCCTGCCTGCTGCCGTGGCCGGAGCCCTGGGCCCTTTAAATTACCACCAGAACACTGTATGGCACACTCCAGGTGGCTCTGCTGGCTGCCTGAGGGGGTGGAGGAGCATGGCATTGTCCAGGTGGTGCTGAGGTCTGGCTGCCCCAACCCCAACCCCATCCCTTCTGTCCAAGACCCTGCCCCTTCTTCCAAGGAACACAGTGCCAGCTTCCAGGAGCACAATGCTGGCTCCCCGCACCTTGCTGAGAGGCCCAGCAAGTCTGTCATCTCCTCCTACCCTTGTTAATAACACTTCCTATTTATACAGCATAGCTGAATTGTGAAGACTTGTGTCTCACCGGCATGTGGTACCTCACGTGTTTCCAGAATGTAGAGTTGGATGCATATGGGCTTTGCGTGTGCTTCTCTTTCCATTTGATAGTACCTTGTTGCTTGATGATGTGCCTGAGTGATTCTTGCAAGCCTTTATAGTCCCCAATTGTCTCCATTTCAAGGAGGATCACCTTTATGTCGTTCTGAATAAGGGCATTGTATAAAGCAATCTGATGTTCGTAAGCAAATTCCTCACATTCAATTAGCTGTGGTGTCAGAATGATTATCAGTCTCCGACTCTTCAGTATTCTCATTTCAAATGCATTGGCAGCATCTAATAATGTACCCAAAAAAATCACAAGATTGTGAGATTTCTTTTACAGATTCCTCAATATTCAGATCTCTCCGTTTAATATATATTTCACTGAAAATTACCTGTTTCCCTGTACCCTGGTGCCACTATTTAAAAGGCATTTCTACTTTTGGTGCTCTGCACAATTTTGAAAACCAAGGTCAAATGTAATGGTGATGGCTTATACCGGATCTGAGTTTGGTTCATAGTTTTTTTACAATTAGAGCTTCTCAAATCATGTCCCATGCAGAACCAACTGGCAATATGCATCTGTGAATTGTATAAGCAGACTCTCATTTACTTCTTTTTGGGAATGCAGACCTATAGTATAGTCACATTAACAGACTTTAGCACCTTTACTACTGACTCCTGGCAATGACACAGTGATGTTGCAGCACTGAATATGTTATCCAGATCAGTCATTTCTATAAAGAACTCTCCAATATCTATGGCAGTGTTTCTCAACCTTTTTTATAAAGTACCCCTTTAAAAAAAAAAGGATCCCCTGTAACTACAGTTTTCAGACACACACACAAATTTTCTACCATTGCAAAACATTTGTTTAAACAACTTAATTGTAGCTGTGTGGATGATGAAATGTTTGTGTGTAAAAAGTACAAAAATAATAAAGCTCTGTAAAACTTAAAACAAAATTCAGTTTTCTCCAAATTTCAGTTGTGTTGATGTACCCTCCAGACTTCTCTTGAGTACCCTAAAGGGTACTCATACCATTGGTTGAGAACCACTGATCTATGGGAAGTTTTGTTTAAAAATAGAGGAAACAATATTGCCAGTTTTATCAAGAGAGAAAAAACGGTAAATGATTCAGTACACACAGAGAGCCATACTGTACTTTGTTCCTAATCTTTGTGTGCAGTTCCCTCTGTGTGTAAATTCAATGGAAGTTGTGTCCAGAGTTCATGGTTATAGCATGGCCTTTTAGGAATACTATCAGAATCGGGTTGACAAAATGGACATAGACAAATCTACATTAGTGTCAAAAGCATAGTGTGTAATTTACAACTATGCAAATCCCAAAGAGACTTGTAATAGCTGAGTTTTTGTTAACAAAGTCACAGCTAAACTACATCTCATACTACTAGGGTATGTCTACACTACAAAGTTAATTCGAACTAACAGCTGTTAGTTCGAATTAACTTTGTAGTGTAGACATACCCTAGTAGTATGAGATGTAGTTTAGCTGTGACTTTGTTAACAAAAACTCAGCTATTACAAGTCTCTTTGGGATTTGCATAGTTGTAAATTACACACTATGCTTTTGACACTAATGTAGATTTGTCTATGTCCATTTTGTCAACCCGATTCTGATAGTATTCCTAAAAGGCCATGCTATAACCATGAACTCTGGACACAACTTCCATTGAATTTACACACAGAGGGAACTGCACACAAAGATTAGGAACAAAGTACAGTATGGCTCTCTGTGTGTACTGAATCATTTACCGTTTTTTCTCTCTTGATAAAACTGGCAATATTGTTTCCTCTATTTTTAAACAAAACTTCCCATAGATCAGTGGTTCTCAACCAATGGTATGAGTACCCTTTAGGGTACTCAAGAGAAGTCTGGAGGGTACATCAACACAACTGAAATTTGGAGAAAACTGAATTTTGTTTTAAGTTTTACAGAGCTTTATTATTTTTGTACTTTTTACACACAAACATTTCATCATCCACACAGCTACAATTAAGTTGTTTAAACAAATGTTTTGCAATGGTAGAAAATTTGTGTGTGTGTCTGAAAACTGTAGTTACAGGGGATCCTTTTTTTTTTAAAGGGGTACTTTATAAAAAAGGTTGAGAAACACTGCCATAGATATTGGAGAGTTCTTTATAGAAATGACTGATCTGGATAACATATTCAGTGCTGCAACATCACTGTGTCATTGCCAGGAGTCAGTAGTAAAGGTGCTAAAGTCTGTTAATGTGACTATACTATAGGTCTGCATTCCCAAAAAGAAGTAAATGAGAGTCTGCTTATACAATTCACAGATGCATATTGCCAGTTGGTTCTGCATGGGACATGATTTGAGAAGCTCTAATTGTAAAAAAAACTATTTGCTTTGTGAAGAAGAACTTTCTGTTGTTAGTTTGAAGCCTGCTACCCATTCATTTCATTTGGTGTCCTCTAGTCCTTCTATTATGGGAACTAATGAAGAACTTTTCTTTATGCACCCTCTCCACACCACTCATGATTTTGTAGACCTCTATCATATCCCCCCTCAGTCTCCTCTTTTCTAAGCTGAAAAGTTCCAATCTTTTTAGCGTCTCTTCATATGGGACCTGTTCCAAACCAAACACATTTATATGTACCCTTTCCCCAGGCTGCCTTTCTGTAGCCTGGCTTTCAGCTCCGCTGCTTCCTACTTATCCTCTGAGTCACATGTCATCCTAGTACCCCTTGGCAAGGAAGTATTTGATTAGTGACTACAGTCAGATCCTACAACCCTGTTCATGCAAGTTATTCATTAGGGAACAACAACGCATGTCCAATTACGAGACTGAAACCTGCACTTGTGATTTTTCCCTTTTCAATTTCTTGTAAAGTTGTTCATGTTGGGCTCAGCGGTGGTTTTGCCACAAGTCTTGAGTTAAAAACAGTGCATAATTATACTGCCCCACAAGCAGATTGTGAACCCGATTTTGCCTTTGAGTGTGTTTACAGTAGAGTTGGAGGTATCATTTCTGCTTTGGCTGATTGAGGTAGCATGCCAAATATAGAAGTTCAGCTATTGTGGCATGCACACCTAGACAGATTAGCGGACCCAAGTACAATACCATTCCCATCCAAGACCTAGATATGTCCCTGGGGCAGCTCATCCTGCTGCTGTACAGCCATGACTATGCTTCTATTTTTAGCATGCTAGCTCAGTCAGAACTAGTGTGGGTATCCATGCTCAAAATTAATACCTCTAGCTCCAGTGAAGACGCACCTATTTCATGGTTTCCTGTTTCTTCAGAAAAGTGGTAAATAATTTGTGCCACTAATCTGCAGACTACTCTTGCTGGCACACAAGCCAGCCCAGCACTACATCCTCTGGTCCTACCCATGTTCTCCTCACCCACCTCTGCAGAGCGACAGTAGCAGCAGCACAGGGATTATTCTGACACATTGCTGCCCAGAATGTGAGTAACCAGCACAAGAGCATAAAAGGGCACCTTATTCCACCATGTGGGCTATAGCCAGGATCACTATCTGACCTCCAAACTAAAAGTAATTTTCTGCAAAGTATCATTTGAGCCTTACCTTCTCCAGGCAACATGTCTCGCCCATGAATGCATAGTTTATATCCATGTTTATTTTCTAGAACATCTGGCAAAATCTGGTGGACAAAATATTCCACAAAATTAGCTTCATTAGTGCGATTTTTGGGATAGATAACACATGCATCATATATCTTCCCATCTGCAAGTTGAAACAAGGGGAAAGCACATGACTGTTAGTGTGGATGAAAAAGCAGTTATTTCAAGAGTTAGAAAAGAAAAATTAATCTTTTGAATAGATTTATTTAGACCTTCCTGTCAAGCAGAAACTTGTAAAGCAGTGTATGGTTATTTGACAACTAAAGATAATGTGCAGCAATATCATTTATGATTGTGAGCTGTGGCAGAATATGTGCAGATGTACAGTGATCCAAACTGGTCATGCTGTAAGAATTAAACAAACCAATGCATGTCAGCATGAATCCAATATAATTTTCAGCATTTGTTCCTTTGGTTGCATCATAAGCCAATAACATTCTTTGCCATCTTAAGACCAGACAGTGCATCTGAACTCTTCCTGTTTGTGGAAATTATCCCTCACTCCCATGATGCCTCATGTAACTTAGTGAAGGGATTGTTCTCTCTCAAAATGTAGAGTCACAGTCACAGCTAACCCCTAGTTCAAATTATCCAGTGTCTCTACAATGGCATTCATTTCCTTCAAGCATATATCCCTTCATCTGCCTCCCTCATCTAATCTTAACCCTGTTTGGTTTGTTGCCATCTCCACAATTTGACATTTACTTCCTCTCCTGGACTGGTCCTTCCTCCTTTGACTTCTTAAATAGGGATTTCATTTGCTTTTTCCATTTTTGGCTATGTCTACATTACTTTTTTTGCAGAAGACACAATACAAATGAAGTGCTCATTAGCATTTTCTCACACTTCATTGCATAATCTCTTCCGACCCATTTTACAGAAGAGGTTTTTGCGCCAAAAAAAAGCCGTGTAGAGGGGTCCGTTTAGTGCAAAAAACCCCTTTTGCGCAAGATCGTGTATACCTCCTTTTTTGAGTATGCCACCTATATTTTACTGTGAATGTACTAAAGAACTCTGTAAGGTGCTTTGGGATATAATGAAAGGTGCCATGCAAAGGAAAAGTGAATTGTCTGATGTAAAATAAAATTAGTTAGAAAGAAGGTGCATGCAATAAATGAAGTCTTGCCAGGATTAACAGAGTACATACCAACAGGTTGGGTTTACAGGAATTGGTACTGTTTTGCTATAGAGCAGCAATAGCTATTTCCTGCAGTTCTTCACTTACATTACCAGTGAAATAAGAAATATATATATATATATAAGACATATTCTATTAACCGGTACCCATCATATACTCTGGGCACCCTTACAACAATTAAAATTGATAGCCTTACATATCATATGGAAAATTTGCACCCTCCCTTCAGAATGCCATGTTCCAAGCAAGGATTTTCTTTGAGTTGAAGTGCTTTTTTGCATAGTACATTACACAGAGCCCATGGGAACAAAGGGCTTGACTCGACGTTAGTATTTGTACATCAAAATATTCCCTTCATACTACATTTAGAAAAGAGCCATCATATTTTATAAAGGCTCTGGGTCTCCTGTGTCTTGCCAATTGGGTGGCCATTTACACTTGTGCATTACAAAGTGGGGGTAAACCACTGCGAGATCTGAATACTCATGTTGCCTAGGCATAAATGACCTCACAAGGTATGAGTGGAGAATCAGGCCCAAAGTGCCTGATCCATAAAGAGTTATGCAATTAAGCTATGTCAGAGGAATTTACTTCTTCCACTTATCTGTTCCTGCCACTCTGTTGTATAATTCTTACTCACCATTCTGGGTTTTGTAGGGTTTAAATATCTCCCGACACAGCAGGACAATATTGATTTGGAAAAAATGGTGAAGTATGACCAAAAGGGCTATTATAACTAACAAAACAAGAATCCCTATTATCAGGTAAGTGTTGTGATGATGTCCTGCCAAGAAAAAAAGACAACATTAGTATTAAAAAAGCTAATATGTGGGACCCATCTTCAACCCCTGACACTCACTCCAAATAGAATATTAAGGAGTAAGGGGATTTATTGAAAGAAGCTTCACCAGAGAGGAATAGCTTTCATGTGCTCAGAGGACCTCACCTACAGCTCCATTCCCTGGGGTTTTGTCAGTGAATGTCTAGTAGAGGTGTTACATCACTGTATTGAGGGGGCTCCCCACACAAGCCTGCTTTCCATGCAGCACTTCAGGACTGTGTGAGGTTTATAAGCTTGTATCTCCAAGCTATAAAGTAGTTATGATACTAAAAAGCCCCCCTTCCCCAAAAAATGCCCTTTCTCATCATAATTGGAGTGATTTTAGCTGCCATGAGGGATGCAAAAGTGTCCTGTTTTTGACCAGAACACCCAGTCAAAAATAGACCCTGGACACTCCAGGCAGCACCAACTAGAACATTAAAAGTCTGCTCAGTGGTGTAACAGGACTAAGGCAGGTAGCCTGCTTACTGTGTCTTCACAGGTCTCCTGAAAGCAGCAGCATCTCCTCTCTCTGGCTCCTATGAATAGGGGCAGCCAGGGAGCTCTGCATATGGAGCCCACTTACATGGGCTGGCTCTGCAGCTCCCATTGGCTGAGAACTGTGGCCAGTGAAAGCTGTGTGGACAGCATCTGCAGACCAAACCAGTCAGTGTGCAAAGCTGCCTGGTTATTTCTCTGCATAGAAGGCAGAGGGGGAACATGCCACTGTTTTCATGAGCTACTTGAGGTAAGTGCCACCCAGAGCCTGCACCATTAACAATAGCCAGGTCTACTGATGGGGACAAAGAGGCGTTGAGGGCTGAAAGATGCAGGAATCATCGAGTCTCTGAAGAACGAGGGAAAGAATAAAGTGGTATTTGGACACTCAGTCAGTGAACAAAAAGCGATACTGAGATTGGCTTTACTGTGGAAGAGGAGCAAGAAAGGGGGATTAAGAGATGTGAGGAGTAACCGGCTATTGCAAGTGCTCAGAGAACAATTCTCCCTAAACACACAGATTGACCAGATAAAACATGTTTGTGAATTAACCTCAGAGGACACCAGTGATGGCCTGCTATGAATGGGGAGAACATAAGAACAACCACATTGGGTAAAACCAAAAGTCCATCTACCCCAGTATCTTTTCTTTCAACAGTGGCCAGTGTCAGAAGCTTCAAAGGAAACAAACAGATCTGGGCAACCATCAAGAAACCCATCCTCTGACGTCCATCCCGCCACCTAGCAGTCAGATACTGACAGAGGGAATACTGAAGATGTGGTGATCACCACCTCTAGGACCAAAGAGAGGAAGATGGAAAGATCTGGAGGCAGTGGAGCCACCTAGAGTACATCTTCATAGCAACATTATTTCAAAATATCTAGCATTATTTTAAATAACTTAGTCCGCATCTACACAGCAGGCAGTTATTTTGAAATAATGTCAAAATACTGTCAAGCTGAAGGATTTCTTACTCCGACTCCTGTAACCCTCATTGTACGAGGAGTCGGAGGAAGAGTGCTCTATTTCGAAATAAGTGATGTGTAGACACTCCCAATTTCAATTTCAAAATAAGCTACGCAATTGAGGTAGCTCAATTTGCATAGGTTATTTCAAGTCAAGCCCTGCTGTGTAGATGCTCCCCCTACTGTGCCTGTGGAAAGAAGTCAGGAGACATGAGGAATGTTTTTTCCAGTACCTGGCATTGAGAGAGGAAGAATCAGAAGATATGAGGGACAAATAGTTAATGTGACCCTCAAGTCTTCAGAGCCATGTGGAGAGTGCAGAGCAGTGCTCTGGTGGTGATTTAAAGGGCCAACAGCTTCAGCCACTGTCACTGATGTAGTAGCAGTGGTGGCGGCTGGCAGCCCCAGGCCATTTTGAATCGCTGGGCCCCGGGACAAGTGCCCTCTTTGCCTCTTTGACCCCACCATTGGCGAGCCTGCTGATGGATGATGACCTGGTCTTAGTTATACAAGTACATCTCCTCAGTCACATGGAATATTGTGAGCATATCATACCTATTTTATAGACTGATTCCCATAGATTATCAAATCCAGGCCAAGGTCCTATCTTCAAAGTACCTGCACTTAGCATATCTAAGAGCATGTCTACACTGCACCCTTCTTTTGAAGGCATGTAATATACATACATGCATAGTTCCCCCAGCACAGGAACTATGTAGCAGTGTAGATGGTTAGGCACCACTTAGGTGTGTAAAGACAGATCTGACAGGTATGGGTATGAACCTGAATACCTACCCTACATGGCTCTATACTTGCTCAAACCTTGCTTCCCCATTTACACTGCTATTTTTAGTGTGTGAAGGGTGCAGCAGTAGGGCTATGTCTAGACTGCAAGCCTCTTTCAAAAGAGGCTCTTTCGAAAGCATCTTTCGAAAGAGCCTCTTTCGAAAGAGAGCGTCTAGACTGCACGGAGAAATTTCAAAAAAGCGGCTTGCTTTTTCGAAAGAAAGCATCCAGTGAGTCTGGATGCTCTCTTTTGAAGAAGCCCTATTTACATTGAAGAACGCCTTCTTTCGAAAGAGGAACTTTCGAAAGAAGGCGTTCTTCCTCGTAAATTGAGGTTTACCGCCATCGAAAGAAAAGCCGCGTTCTTTCGAATTAATTTCGAAAGAACGCGGCTTGAGTCTGGACGCAGGGGAAGTTTTTTCGAAAAAAGGCTACTTTTTTCGAAAAAAAACCCTGAGTCTGAACACAGCCTAGGGGAAAACTCCAGCAGTTCCATGCCACATGGACAGACTCCATGCAGCAGGGAAAGTCTCTGACAGCACCCCACTGCTGGAGCTTTTGCCCCAACACAGGAAGAAACTCTGTCAGTGAGGAAAAGCTCTGGTGGTGGGAGGCGCCTCCTTGCAGTGAACAGTTCCTATAGCGCAGCGCTTCCTTCCCTCTACAAGAGCCTTTCACTGACACCTGTACACACCAGAGTGTGGACATGGTGCACTTTTCAATGAAAAGTGTAGCTACAAATACTCTACATGCTGCCGCCAGTGGTGTGTAATATAGATGTAGCCTAAAAGGTCCAAAGCTCCGGAATGAAGACCTTAATTAAAAGCTCTATTCCCCAGGGACACCAAAGCTCATCTGTTCAGAGGATAGAACTTCACTAGGGGCTAGTCTGAGAATGTGGAACAAATTCCACCAGCAGGTAAGGATTATCCCCATACTCACTACCTTCACTCACATGCACATGTACATGAAAAAAACAACCCCCAAGGTAACACTCCACCAAAACAAACCATGGCACACACAATTCTCCCTTGGACAGAGGATTGCTTAATTCACATCTGGAAAATGTGCAGTTACTACAGTGATGAGGGTAGCATAAGAACCCAATTAGAACAGAATCGCAGGAAAGGCAATGCTTTGACTCTACAAGAATGAGCAGCTCCACCTTCAACTTTAAAAAAAAAGATCTTAAAAGATTTTGTGTTTCCTGACTTTATTCTGCACTAGCAGCAATGGTTTCTTTTCAAAAAGAGATAAAAGGGGTATCTGAGCATTGCTGACAAAAGAATCTAATCAGAGCTACGCTGCATGCTGATCTGTGACTCAGTTAGACCTTGATCATGGGTTCTGTCTATGGTGCACAGCAGGTGCACAGGGCTGTTGTGCTTCACCCTATGGACAAGTGTTGCTGTGCATAGATTCAAGGAAGATTAATCTTGCCACAAAGAAAGAGTAATTTGGCAGCAGCATTCTCATGAATGCAGAACTGGATCCCCTGCATGTCATTCTGAATCTCTCAGTACACTATACATGCCATCTGCCACACTTATGCTGAGCAGAATCTATCCCACAGATCACTAGACTCTGAGGGTACGTCTAGACTGCAAGCCTCTTCCGAAAGAGGCTTTTTCGAAAGTATCTTTCGAAAGAGGCTTTTTTGAAAGTATCTTTCGAAAAAGCCTCTTTTGAAAAAGAGCATCTAGACTACAAACAGTACTTTCGAAAAAGCAAGCAGCTTTTTCGAAAGAGAGCACCCAGGCAGTCTGGATGCTCTCTTTCGGAAAAGCACAGTTTGCATTACATAGTGCCTTTTTTCAAAAGAGCACGTTTGAAAAAAGGCGTTCTTCCTCGTAAAATGAGGTTTTCCGTGGTCAAGAAACTGCTGCATTCTTTCGATTTACTTTCGAAAGAACATGACAGCAGTCTAGATGCAGGGGAAGTTTTTTCAAAAAAAGGCCATTTTTTTTGAAAAAAAAAAAAAGCAGTAGTTTAGACACACCCTGAGGGTAACATCCCAATCCTAAGCGAAGTCAGTGGGAATTTTTCCATGATTTTACCCAGAAGCTTCAAAACAAGATCTTTACAAATCCACCAACAAAACTCTGCATTATAATGTGTGTATTTAATTGTTGTATAGTGTATATATGCTGTATAGTTAGACAACGTGAGCTGGCGATGGGAGGATTTCTCTTTTATTTATTTTACTTTTGCCAACTGAAACAACCACCTGTTTCAGATACTTCAAACTGTAGGGAGATTTTTGCACTTTGAGCTGTAACATCACTTTGTGCATTACAAATCCCATTTCATTTAGTGCGGTACATGAGAAATTTGACAGAAGATCCTCTTCCTTCACTTTCTCAATGTTTAAAATGGACTCGCCATAATATCGCCGATCAGATTCCCTAAAACTAGTAGAGAAAGTTGTCACTGTTAGTTGTTAATGGATAGGCACAGTTTGCAAAATATGAAAATTATTTCAGATGATGCTGTACTTACAATTGACAGTCTACCTGAAACCTTAAAGAATTAAGAGCTTCGGCTTTAGTTTCATTAACGTTCCATGTAACAACAGCTATGTTTTGCTTCCCAATCCCCAGAAAGGCTTTACAACTAATGTTCACAGGAGAACCTAAGGAAAATCAGGTATTTTGTAAATAATCTTTTACACCAGCAAAAATTCCAAAATAAGAGTTGTATTGACTTACAATGAAATAATAGCCTGTATAATTAAATCACTTTTAATTCACATCAGTGGTGGTTCGTAAGGCCTAAAATAAAGTTTACAAATCTTACACGTCATAGCATAAACTGGTTATCTGCAAGTGAGAAGTAAGAATTCCAACACTCCTGCAAATAGTGAATAATAAATCATTATAGTAAAGAGTTTAGAATATTTTATTTCTTTAAGTAAATTCAGTTATTGCAAAAGGTCTATTTGATGTCCTGGAAAGGTGGGCAGAACTCAACTAGAACTAAAAATCCATCCTCCTGAAACAAAAGAGTAGCTACAGGACCTGGGATCAACTAAATTCATGGAACAGATAATAATGGGGAGAAGCAGAAATAGGAGAATAAATCATAAGTTTAAAATAAGGGGGGGGGGCACTGAACAGGGAACCCAGACAGAACCTGCTGCCGAGTGAAATCTAAGGCAATGCAATCTATCCTCACACTCTGTCCAATGGACCCATACCATGATTCGGAAGCAAAATGTCCAGTAGAGAGAGGAGAACTCAATTTACATGATCTTTCCTTAGCCTGAGAATGGGCCCTAGAGTGTTAATTAATGCCCAAGTAACCCACTAAATGAAAATAAATTCCCATCACTCTGGAAGTCTTCACTTCAAGGTGAAGAATTCTACTACTAATTCTGTTATCTATCCCGAGCTGGGCAATCCAATGCTGAATGTAATTTAAAAATTATTGAGATAAGATGTTGATACATACCAAGCTCCACTTGTATTACAGAATTGTCTGTTGGATACTGAATTTGGGCAAGTATAGGTGAAGAGACAGTTTCTGAAATTAAGGCAAAAGGAAAGCAAATATTAGACTGGCTTATAACAGTCTCATTCTAGTCTAACCTTTTAGCACAGCAGAATTGGAAATGTAAGCTAACACCACAACAGTGGTCCATATATTTACTAGAATTACCTGACATTACTCCCACAATAGCATATTTTGGGAAAGCTACATATTTGTATTACATGCAAAGGTTGCTTATTAATTTTTGTAGCATTTTACATATCTATCTTGTGACAGTGTCAGACTAGAAGGATACAGGAGAGTACTCGAAGGAAGGTATGTTAGCTCTAGCTTAAGTAGGTCTCTGTTCCCTGGGTAAACTGGCAGGGCCTGACCAAAAACCAGCAGGAACTTTCCAGAATCAGTTTGGACAGTCAGGCCAGTTGGAACATCTGGAGCCTTTCAGAGCCAAGAGAGTCAGTCTAATCAGAACTGCCAGGGCGAATCAAGCCCAAGACTGGTTTAAAAGGGTTCCTCTTCAGTTTGTTCAGGGTAATGTGAGGAATTCGGAGGAGGGAGGGAGCCAAGTTCTGAAAGTGAGCAGTGTCTGAGTGAGATCTGGGAACTTCAGGTAAGGCAGAGTGCTATGGAGGAGCAGGATAGGCTGCTCAGGCACCAGAAGAAAGGTACTGGGAGGGATCATTTGGGGAAGTGACCCAGGAAAGTAGTTGCCAGACTGGGAATAGAACAACCCCCATCTGTTGCTGCTGCCTTGGGGTCCCTGGGCAAGAACCCAGGGGAGTGGGTTCCCCCAGCCTTCCCCACACCACTACAGACACTGTCCCTTGATATGGAAACCAGAACTATAAAAGGGTTTCACCCCATACTATGGACTAGCCTGTGGGGAGTGGCTCAAAAGGCTGTGACCCCTGCCTCCAGAAAAAAGAAGAGGCTGTGTGGAGGGCCACCACAAGCCTCTGAGACTGAACTGTATCTTCCAGAAGCATAGGGCCCACAGGCACAGCTAGAGCTTTCAATTTGTTCAAGAACGGCTACACAGTAAGAGCTAGCAACTCCAAATTTGGTAGGCGGCTTCCTCTTACCCTAACTTAAAACAAGGTCAGGGTGTGTGGTTGTGGCAGGACAATTGGAAGCCCCGGGAAAAGGATTGTTTTCTATAGCATGCAAAGGGAGCTGCAGCTGTTTGGAAGGACATGATATGAGAGTGGCTAGTGAGGGCTGTGAGCTCACAGAGGAGAGCTGTCCTGCAAAGTTACCACTGGGGGCAGTCGTACCACCAAGGGAGTGGGCAGCAGGGCAGGGGCTTAGCTATCTGGTCTGCCAGCACACCAGTTAAGTAGCCCCTCCTGTCCCAAGCCCTTCCCTCCCTTTTTTCTCTCCATTGGCTGGGGGGAAGAGACAAAAGGCCCCTGGTGGTTGGTGGGAGCTGAGGGGGAAGGCCCCTAGTGGCCTGGGAGAATTGAGTGAAGAAAAATTCACCTAGTGGCCATGAGGGTGGCTGGGGAGAGAGAAGAAGTCTGTGCTAAATAGGACTCCCCTTTCTGAGCTTCTCCTTACCCCCCTCCACTTTCACTCTCCCACCCTGCCTCTGCAGCCTCCTGCACTCTGCTCCATATCCCCAAAGCACAGCCCTGAATACTGCACTCCCCATACTGCCAGCCCCCTACCCTTAAGGACCCAGGCAATACCAAGTAAGTCTGACAGTTTATAAATAAAGGAAACGAAGGAAATATCTTTCTAAACATGTTGCTTTAGTTACTTGGTAGAGAAGTCATATTAATCATGCACCCTCGTGTTTTCTCAGCTGTTCACATCACTCTTTAATAGCATTTAGAATTCCCCAGCCTATCTTTTAAAAATATTTATCAGGCGTTTGAGCAAGGGACTGTGGTCCATCACTTCAACCTGGTAGATTCCTTTTCATTCAGCTTTTAGCAGGCATGGTGCTTTTCCTTTGGGGGTAGTTGGCAATTCAGATCTCCGGTAAGAATGATATTGACATATTTATAGGCTCACATTTTCCAGTGTGCCAGCATAGATGCATATTCCTGACTCTCCTTTTCAGAGTTTAAAGCCAGAGATCATCTAGTCTCACCTCCTGTATATCAGAGGCCACCAACTCCACCCCTTCACAAAGTGCAACAATGAGAATTAGACCAGCTTTAAAGCCTTCAAGCACTGTGATAGCTCCAGCAATGCATGTGGTGCAGTCATGTTAGAATCCATGAGTTGATGGTCTCCTCACGTCAAAAAAGATATTTTGGCCTTGGAAAGGGTTCAGAAAAGGGCAACTAAAATGATTAGGGGTTTCGAATGGGTCCCATATGAGGAGAGGTTAAAGCGACTGGGACTTTTCAGTTTAGAAAAGAGGAGACTGAGGGGGGATATGATAGAGGTCTATAAAATCATGAGTGGTGTGGAGAGGGCTGATAAAGAAAAGTTATTTATTAGTTCCCATAATAGAAGAACTAGAGGACACCAAATGAAATTAATGGGTAGCAGGTTTAAAACTAATAAAAGAAAGTTCTTCTTCACGCAGCGTGTAGTCAGCCTGTGGAACTCCTCGCCAGAGGAGGCTGTGAAGGCTAGGACTATAACAGAGTTTAAAGAGAAGCTAGATAATTTCATGGAGGTTAGTCTTTTATGGACCTATTAGCTAGGGGATAGAATTGGTGTCCCTGACCTCCGTTTGTCAGAGGCTGGAGAGGGATGGCAGGAGACAAATTGCTTGATCATTGTCTTCGGTCCACCCTCTCTGGGGCACCTGGTGCTGGCCACTGTTGGCAGACAGGATACTGGGTTAGATGGACCTTTGGTCTGACCCAGTACGGCCATTCTTATGTTCTTATGATGGGAACCCGGCCAGCAGAAGTCATTGTATCTTAGGCACCATTGTAGTTATGCCACTCTACACATAGGTAGACAAGGCAGTTGCCTATGAGCTGGTGGAAGCGCTGAGTAGTTGTAAGCAGCCCCCAGCCAGGCTGCTAGGGAAGCGTTCCCACCCCCTCCCCAGGAGCTCCTAATCCACAGTGTGGGTAAGATTACAGTTTCATCTGTGGCTCAGACACAGAGCAGCTTGGAGCTGCTCCTGTGGCATTACATGTACTGCTGTAGCTTCAAATGCACCCAGTTCACATCTGCTGCTAGGGTTGCCGGATGGTTTCAACAAAAATACCAGACACACTTGACATTACATCTTATTTAGAAAATACCGGACAGTTCTGTTTTCTCATTTCTATTTTCTCAATTTGTTTCCCGAACAGAAAGCTCAAATACTGGACTGTCCGGTTCAAAACCGGACACCTGGCAACACTAGCTGCTGCTCAGTGCCCTTCCCCCACTGGGCCTGCTGCCCAGGCAAAGGTCCATGGTGGTGATTACTTCAACAGTGAAGAGCTCAACGGGAAATATATGGGACAGCAGACTGAAGATTGCTAGGGGCCAAACAGGGGGAAGGGAGGTGCAGGCTGGGATGGTGTGGAGGTTCCCATTGCAGCTGAACTGAGCAGTTCCAGGGGAAGGAGAGCAGGGGATGGGGCTTCCCTGCCCTGCAGGTTGAGGATGAGGAGTCCTAAGGGAGGGGGGTTCAGGAGCAGGACAGAGAGCAAGCTCTGGTGAGAATTACACTGTTTTTACCGTTTGAAAGTGGGTTTCTCTAGATTCACTGGTGCGCACTAGCTCCCATGCAACATTTTGGCAATGAAAAACCATCATCAACCTAGTCCAATCAGCCAGCTAAATTATGTTGACGGAGTAGCCCAAAAGTAACTAACGTGTACCAGTGAATCTTGCCCGCTGTGGGTAGGATCAAATGATATCTGACTAATGGGTGTATCTTAGAAGTATGTAGATGTTGTAGATATTGGATCTAGCTTTTGATCGAGGTCAGGTAACATTTCTAGTATAGGAAAACAGCTAGATCGGGGTAGACAAAATCAGGCCCAGGGGCCAGATTTGGCCTACCAAGCATTTCTCTCCAGCCCACACAGCAGATTAGCAGAGATTGCATACTTACAGCCAGCAGCATATGTTCAGCTGCTCCTCCCCGCCCACCTTGTTCCATCTTGCAGCCAAGCTGCTTCCTGGATTCTTCTGCTAGCTGTGCAGAGGGGAGGGGAGGAGGGAGTGCTGAAGGTAATGCACTGCAGGGGTCACAGAGAGGAAGACACACAGCAGAGCTGCCCCCATTTGAAGCATGGATGCTAAGTGACTCAGAGGAGCGCCTGTCTTAAGAGGCACTGCGCTATTTCTAAGGTTTCAATGCTCATGCTCTCTCTCTCACACACACACCACTCTTCTCCTCCATGCCCCATCTCTGCAGAGCAAGGAATGGGGAGATAACAGAACAGGACAGTGTTCCCTGTCTTAAAGAGACAGTGCATGGCTTCTCTCAGAAACTTACCCAGCAGCAGCCAGCACACACACACACACTCTGTCACTGTCACACACACACAGTTTGTGCCACACTGTCTCTGTGCTACACACACAGTCACTGCCACACACATTCAATCTGTGTCACAAAGTCTGTAACACGCAAGAGTGTCTCTCTTTCACATGCATGCACTCTCTTTCTCTCTCTCTGTAGCTTCCAAACTTACCCCTTACACCCAGGTCCCTCCCCTTCCAGGGGCGATCCTGGAGCCAGCCCATGATCATGTACCAAAATTCATGAAATGCCCTCCTTCTCCCCATGAAAATTGTTGCCGACCCCTGAGCTAGATCTTAAGGACCTGACTTAGACCATAATGGAAAATGGACTCGGGATCATGACCTTTGAGAAGTGCTGAAGATTTAATTTTAATAGTAGATTTCAGTTTTCAAGCTGAATAAAGGTCTGGATTTGGTTCTGGGACACACAGACCACATTTTCAAGAGTGGTCTGTGTATCTGTGATAACTCTTGTTTGCATCTGTTGCCCAGCTATGTGATTGGTAAATGCTATTAGTGTTTCTTTGGTAAACTTGTCTGAATTTGGGGTTTGATTCACCATTGCATTTCTCCCCTTTGACAGCAGTGTAATAACTGAATTCCTTTAGTTCCAGTGGAGTTGCACCAAGGGGATTTTGAAATAGCCCAATACTGAATGCTTCAGAGGGGTAGCCAAATTAGTCTGTAACTGGAAAAACTTAAAAAACAACAAATAATCTTGCAGCACATTAAAGACTAACAAAACATGTAGATGGAATCATGAGCTTTCGTGGGCACAACCCACTTCTTCAAATGAATGGAGTTATTAAAGATCCAGTTTCTAAATAGGTGATATGGGGGAGAGAAGGGAAAGAAATAGTTAATTAGGGTATGTCTACACTACCACCCTAGTTCGAACTAGGGTGGTAATGTAGTCAACCGGAGTTGCAAATGAAGCCCGGGATTTGAATTTCCCGGGCTTCATTTGCATGTTGCCGGGCACCGCCATTTTTAAATGTCCGCTAGTTCGGACTCTGTGCCCCGCGGCTACACACGGCACGAACTAGGTAGTTCGTGGAACGAGGAGTACAGGTAGTTCGGAATAGGAAGCCTAGTCCGAACTACCTAGTTCATGCCGCGTGTAGCCGCGTGGCACGGAGTTCAAACTAGTGGACATTTAAAAATGGCAGCGCCCAGCAACATGCAAATGAAGCCCGGGAAATTCAAATCCCGGGCTTCGTTTGCAACTCCGGTTGACTACATTATCACCCTAGTTTGAACTAGGGTGGTAGTGTAGACATACCCTTAGAGTGTCCATGTTGCATGAAGCTGATAGAGAAGTTGCAAATTGTTCTTAAGTACCCATTGTTTGCTTTTTGATGTCTTTAGGATGTGGAATGTAGCGGGCCATCCAACCCATGTCTCTATTTATACCTTTGTGATAGAAATCAAACCTGTGAATTAAGTTAAGTTCTAAGGCTTTCCTGTGTATTTAGCTTGTGGAATTGGCCTGAAATATGGTGACTCTGAGATCCATTAATGAGTACACGGGCAAGTTATTGAATGAAGCTCTTGGACTTTTTGACTGGTTATATGTGTGCTTTGGATATTGTTTGTTAGTTTAAATGTTGGCATATCAAAGCTGTGAGTTGTAAGTGTCAACATGATATGTATATATATTATTAATGTGGCACAGATCTCCCATTAGATACTAATTACAGTTAATATGTTGGTTTAGAATATGAGTGCTTTACCTTATGAATTACCAACACAAGAATTACCAACATAAGATCATATCTGCAGAGCTCCTACACTACAAAATTTAGCACTGTACGGCCAGTAAGAATTTTGTACAAATGTGTAAATAATGTATAGATAGCTTGCAAAAGTATGTAGACATATCCTGCATATTGTCTTTGTGTATTTATGCATGAGATGGATATGTTTGGATTTTCCAAGAATAAGTGTCATGCCAACACACCCAAGTCATTGTCATGCAGAATGGCAGGTTAGTGTATGAGCCTTGTATCATGATAAGGTGTAGAGTAAATTCATTATGCTCTATAAGTTATCTCGGTGCCACTAGATGGGACAGTATACCACATCTAGGAGATGTGTGGGTTACATAAGCAAAATTATAGATTTCGCAATTAGGAAGGGATCCCTAATCTATTCTTGCATCTAATTTACTCTGGACAATCTGGGAACTTGCCACATCCTAAATGATTGTGGGTATGTAGCGCATGTACCTTGAATGGCCCTGAGAACAGGTCTAATTACTTATACTAAACAATCTTTTCTACCTGGCATTTTGCTGAAGCTGGAAGTACCTTCCCCAGTACTGAGGAAGAACTCCATGTGGTTCAAAAGTTTGTCTCTCTCACCAACAGAAGTTGGGCCAATAAAATATATTACTTTACTCAACTCAACTCTCGAAATAATTGTGTGTCATAATCAGGGCTCGCCGAACTGCGGCGAGCCCCACTTGCCAGCCGCGCTGTCTGGCGATCTGTGCATGCGCAGATCACCCAAACCCGGCTGTTCCGGATTACAATCTACTCGCCATGGGCGAGTAGATTGTATAATTTGTCAAGCCCTGGTCATAATCAGAAAACAGGAGGAACTGAGGTGCACCAATGCCAGAAACCCTTGCAGTGACAGGGAATTCGTTTAGTGAAATATTCAGAGGATCATAGCAAGTGAACCAGACCTGGAGAAGCAATCTCACAGATTTGTGATGCCAAACTCAGCTGGGGAAAATTCTTTTCAGACCATACATATGGCAATCAGTTAGACCATGAGCATTTGAGCAAGACCCACCAACCAAGCATCTGAGAGACAAGAAAATGCTTAGTATCATCTCAGAGTGTCAGTCCTCCTGAGTTGTGGCCATCTCTTAAGCTGCTGAGGAAGGAGACCCTCCCAAAAAAATCATGCCAAGTTTCAGTGAGGATCAAACACAAAAGAAATTCAAAACTTCAAATGCGGCTACAGAATGGAATTGTTGTCCAGTCAAGTCCGTCCTTAATCATGGTCACAACCCTGGGGCCCCTTTAATAGACAGCAATCAAAAGTGTACCCTAATTCTACTGCTGTCTCATGAGTGGCCCCCATATTTTCAAATAACAAAGACTCAGAGAGCCACTAAACTCAAACCATTTTCCTCTGTTCATATTCATCACCTCAGTCTTGTCTGTCATTCAAAAAATGTCAGCCAGACAGGCCAAGAACTGAAAGAATTCAGAATATATTTTACAAAAAAGAAGGCATCAAGTTGCACGTCATTAGCATATTAATGATACTGTGCACCATAGCTCTATGATCCTCACAGGCCACATATATTCGCCAACAGGCAAAGGGAGTGGAATGGAGCCTTCTAGCACTCCAGCGAGGGAACTTGACAAAGTGGCTGGGATGATTTAGGTGAGTTGGTACTTTTTTGAGCAGAGGTTTGGATTAGATGGCCTGCTGATGGCCATCTTCCAACCCTAATCTTTTATGATTCTATGAACCAAGCAATCAAGTTCTCGCCTCCAGAAATGAGTACAATCAGGATGGCCAGAAGCTACAGCTGGAAGACTTTATGTGGTCCACAAACCTAGTTCAGGGCCAAGATAGTATGGGAAGGCTAAAGAATTATGAGATGGAGCCCAGCCTTGCTCTGTATCACAACTTTCTCCACACACAAGTCAATTGTAAACAAGAGGTCAAAGCTTCATCGCCAAACAACAACGAACCAATGGAGAACCTTTTTCTCATTAATTATACACATAAAATTCACTTTATTGTAGCAAGGCAGCAATAGGAACATCTTACCTTCAACTATAAAGCGTCTTGTCGCTGATACATTATATACATTTCCACCATGCATGTAGGTAAAATAGCAGGTATAATATCCTTCATCAGTTTTGGGGGGACATTTAATAAAAAGATACTTCTCTCTCATTAAATATTTTTCACTTGGTCCTTGGAGAGGTTTGCAGTCCTGAAAAAGAGGACATTTTCATCATTTGGCCATACATAATTCATCATAATGATCTGATTTTCACTAGTGCTGTTTGTGTGTTTATTTACCTTATACCATTTGACAATAGTAGCATTCTCATAATTGTCAATTGTAGGGCAAACAATTTTTCCAGATGTTAATGTTCCAGTGTCATTTGGATAACGAATCCGACTTGGGAAACAAATTCCTCGTTTGTATGGATACACCATCACACTCACAGTGGAAGGCATTGTACACTTACTAAAACTTAAAAAAAAAAAAAAACAGTCACAGAGGGATTGTGGAGTATAGCTAGGCATTAGCTAGAAATAACCTACAATTTCTACTGCATGTTATTTTTGCTTTATACGTATGTATATGATGCTATATTTCACTTGCTGTTAAAAATGGCATAGTAAAAATAGCAATTGGAGTATAAAAGTTTCTGGAATTCAGTCACATACTATGAAAACAAGTATGATCATACAAATAGTAACTATAACTATCCATCTCATTAAAATACTCATCTATACTTATTAATAGCCTTAAAACTTGCTTTTCAGTGTTCTGCTTACTCGCATACAAAACAAGTGTAGGTTCCTGAGTCCTCTTTCGCTGTTGGCAGAAACCAAAGAAATCGCCCAGAGGAAAATATCCGTTCTCCTTCTTCTGCAGGAATGGGCAGGTTAGTCTGTGTATGATACCATGTAATGGTTCTATTTGGACGGTCTCTGGGACACTTTACAACCAAAGCCTCACCTTCCATTGCATCATCTGGAAAAGAAAAGAAAAAGTTCCTTATATTGGCAAGAGAGAATATACATGGGTAAAATCCCAGCTGCACTGAAGTCAATGGAAGTTTAGACATTGACTTCAAAGAGTCCAGAATTTCCTGTGAGTATTTGACATTTTACATATTTAATAGGAAAATGCAATAAAATTTCAGAAGGCTCAGTGCTGCTGTATGATCGTTAATGGATCATATCTTGAGACACTTCATGGGACAGTATGACAAGGTATAATTTAGATCTGGTCTATCTTAGCTGGTTAACTAAAGATAGGATTTTTAACCGTTAGGTCTGGTCTACACTGGGAGTTTAGGTTGAACTTAACCACATTAGGGCAAATTTCTAAACAAGGAGTCCACCCCATCAAGCTCATTTCATCGTTTGTTTGGTGTGAGGTTTTTTTAAGGGCTGTTAAAGTCAATTTTCAGTGCCCCAGCTTTTCACGAGGAGTAATGCTAAATTCAATCTTGTATGTGTATCCTTACAATAGTGCAGATACAGCACTGTGAAAGTCAAAGTTCTTGGCCTGTGAGAGGTGTTCCACAGTGCCCAGTGCTGACCTCTCTGGCCAGGACTTTCAACTCTATTGCTGCCCAGGTGCACAGGAAAAGTCCCAGGAAAATTTGAATTTCATTTCCTGTGTGGCCAGCGTGGCAAGAAACTTGGCGCATGCAGCACACTTGACCATGGCTGCAGACGAGCACCTACATGGAGTGTGCAGGAGATCCTGGGCCTTGTTGCCGTGTGGGGAGAGGAATCTGTTCTTGCAGAACAACCAGCAAAAGAAACACTGATATCTATGCCAAGATCACACAGGCGGGGCGGCCCGTGAGTATAGGCCAACTTGGTGGTTGCCTAGGGCGCCGCCTTCAACGGGGTGCCTGGGGTGACGGCCATGAAGGCAGGGGCATCGATCGTGTATTCCACCTGGGGCGCCAGCTGCCGCAGCCAGCCTCTGGTCACTCCTGCACACAGGGCATGGAAGAGAAAGGGCTAGGAACACCCGCAGTCCCATGTGAAAATAAAGGAGCTGAGGCAGTCATACCAGAAGACAAAGGAGGCAAAACAGTCTGGATCATTGCTGCAAACATGCTGCTTCTATGAGCAGCTACATGTGATTCTACAGGTGGACCCGACCAGCTTCCCTAATCCCTAACAAGCCGTGTAAGGCTCACTTCTGGCAGCCTCGGGCAGCGGTATGGAGGACAGCATGGATGAGGAGGAGGAGGAGAGTGGTCAGCGGATGAGAGAGGCAACAGACATCACCAATGGCCAGGACCTTTTCATAACTTTGGAGACAATCCCCTCCTCACAGGATGTCTTGCAGCTGGGCCCTGATGGCAGGGAGAGCATTTCTGGGAGTTCACATTGTTTGTCTTGCTAAAAGTGGGTTAAGGCAATTGGGTGTCATCTGTGGTGGCCAATCTGCCTACACGGTGGAGGGTCCCTGAAACAGCTTGTTGACGTGTCTGGATGCTCTCTATGTGAAGTGTGAGGGGAGAGGTAACTGGGAGTTTGTGAGTTGTGGGAGTCTCAATACATTGGGGTGCACCCCTTCCCTGTATGAGGATCAGGAGCAGCAGCTGTGTCAGTGGTCCCCTTGGAAAGGTTGATTCCCCGCCCCCACCCAAGTGTCTCTCCCAAGCCCCAGTGCAGGGAACACGGTGTTCCTGCCTAGGGATGTGACAGGGACTGGGGATTTGTAGGGCCCCGGGGGAAGGCAGAAGTGGGAGCAGCAGAGAGTCCAGCCTAACCCAGGGGAGAGAAGGAACCACAGGGCCTGGAGCAGGGAACAGCAGGAGCTGGTGGTGGTGGTGGAAAAGGAGAAAGACTATGAGGAGTACAAGGATTTTTCCGAGCTCCCTGACACTCAAAGCATCACCTCAGATGATTCCTTCTGTGCTTCAGCGGCGATGAGGAGGAGAGCTGGTCTCTGGGGGAATCAGAGGTCAGCTACCTTGAGCCTCTTCCGAGCCTGCTGCACCAACAACAGTGTGGTGCTGAGATCACTGACCCTACAGGGGCCTGAGGAGGAGGGGCAGGAGACTGACTGCAACACTGAGTGAGCCAATCATGGCTGGGCAGCAGCCCACATCTACCCTGCATCCACTGCACACACCCCAACAGCCTTCAGATGCCAAACAGCCCAAGCTTAGCCCCACCTTAGGTACTACCCATTTGTGCAGGGCCCCTCCCTGCCAGGTTTCACCTACACCAGAATTTCTCCATCTTAACAACATCACACCCCCCACTGCTCCATCCTGCTCAGCTTCCACCTCGTACACACCCTCTAACCCTCTTCTCAGCTGTGCCCAGGCTCCGGCCCAACACACTCTGGCTACGTCTACACTGGCCCCTTTTCCGAAAGGGGCATGTTAATTTTACAGGTCGTAATAGGGAAATCCGCGGGGGATTTAAATATCCCCCGCGGCATTTAAATAAAAATGTCCGCCGCTTTTTTCCCGCTTTTAGAAAAGCCGGAAAAGAGCGTCTACACTGGCCCCGATCCTCCGGAAAAAAAGCCCTTTTCCAGAGGATCTTATTCCTACTTTGAAGGACTATCTAGTCCGTGCCGCGTGTAGCCGCGTGGCACGGGGTTCGCACTAGCCGGCTTTTAAAAATGGTGGTGCCAGCTTTATGCTAATGAAGCCCGGGAAATTCAAATCCCGGGCTTCATTAGCAAGTTCGGTATGCATACATTACCCCCTTAGTTCGAACTAGGGGGGTAGTGTAGACATACCCTAATTGTTTTTCACATTATCGCACAGCGAAAAACTGCATGAGAGTTATGAATGTAAGAGATTAATTTACCTGTTAAAATAACATTCCGAAAAACTTTTAAATAAAACTAACACACAACACAAGAATCACCCTCACTTTATTGAAGGCCCTTTATAGCAATAGGTAGCCTAAGGCTGAGGATACCCTGCAAGCGTGGCTTTCTGTCTGCCATGAGGACTTTTTCCTTCAGGCTGCCATGAGATTCTATCCTTAAGTAAAGGAGAGAGATCTCTCTGAGCTGCTCTTCCAAATTTCACACAAGTCATTCAACTGAAGCCGTAGATATCAAGATTCAAGGTCAATCTTGCCTTGAGCAGACTGCCCCTCCAGGTGTTCACAATCACAACATCTGAACACGTATAAGACTTTTAGTTAAAAAAGCCACAATAATCCCAAGTCTCTGCTATGCCTGGGAGATGGAAAATCTGCAAGAAAACGTGGGGGGATCTATCACTTCAGTAATGCCAACTCCTTTAGAATTGAGGCTCTGATTATCTAGCACCAGCTGAGGTAGAGTGGGCACTGTGTGCACGTATGATACATTTTTACCAAAACTCCTGCCTGCCCAACTCAAAGGAGAAAGGAAACGGGGAGGCAAAAAGGAAGGGTATAGTATAGAATCTATTTTTATAAGCTTCAGAGGAGTAGCCGAGTTAGTCTGTAACAGGAAAAACTTAAAAAAACAACAAAACAGTCTAGTAGTACTTTAAAGACTAACAAAACATGTAGATCGGGGTAGGCAAAAGGGTCTCCGTGGGTCAGATCCGGTCTGCGAAGGCCTTGCTGCTCCCCCACATCCACAGTCTTGTGCCGCAACACTCCTGCACCATCCACACACCACAAACCTGTGCCCTGAGCCCCTCATACACCACAACTCAAACTTCTGCACCCACACATCCACAAGCCTGCGGCTTGTTCAGCACTCCAACCCTTCATCTGACCCCAACACTCCAACCTAGAGCCCCCTTTCCGAGCCAGCATCCCCTTCTCCACCTCCTCCTGCATCCAAATTCCCTTCCAGAGCTTGCACTTCTCACCCCTTCCCACACCCAAATCCTTCGTTCTCACCCCAGAGCCGGCACCTCCTGTCTCAACTCAATGAGAGTAGATAAGGGCTGGGGACAGCAACTGCTGGAGAGGAGGAGAACAGAGAGAGAGGGGCCTCAAGGAAGGGGTGGGATCTTGGAGAAGAGATGGGGTAGATCTTGGCTTGCCCTGACATTTAAAAAGTGATCTTGGGTGTGAAAAGGTTAGAGACTACTGCCTTACTCCTAGCCTGCTTCTGCACCCTACCTCCACCCAGACCTTGCACCCTCACCTGCTCCTGTACCCCACCTCCTAGCCAGATACTGCACCCCCATCCCTATCCCACGCTCTGGCAGCCCTGTCATACTGAACCCCTCATTTTGTCCCCATCCCAGAGCCTAAGGCGGTCCACAAAATCCACTAACTCCAGAACCACAGAAAAGTAAATCTGGCCTATGAGAAATCCTGAACCTCAGTCTTCCCTGTCCCTTCCTCTTGCATGGTGGGGCTGGAACACCAGAGGAGTTAGGTGTTTCAGTTGCGGGAGATACATCAGCAAGGGTTGGGTGGCGGGTTGGAGGAGGTTGGTTTTTCTAGGTTTTTTTTTTTTTTTTTTTTTGCTTCTCGCTTGTATGGTCCCCAGCTGATTTTTCTGTGGGTTCTGTGGGGCCACTGCAAAAGGTTTCCCACCTCTGCCATAAATAAAGAAAACACTGAAACCTTTTGTGTTGGACATAAATTAATATTTTACTTTACTTAAAATGAAGTTTGATAAACTAACATGAGAGAGTTAAAATGCCAAATCTGTTTAACAATTTAAATTAAATCATTCTCCCTGGCTATAATACTAGCAAAATGGCTTGGGCATAATTATGTAATTAATGGTGAGTTTCCATTAGCAAAAAGGTTTAATTGAGCCAGGTGGTCCATGGGCCAAAAAAATTGAGAACTTGATCACAACCATGATAAGTGAACTAAAACAATGGATGTTGCTGGACCAGAGAGTGCTGGATTAGAGAGATTCAACCTGTAGTGAGCTTTGGAGTTAAGACAAGCTGATAGAGGAGGTGGAAAATAAGAGGAGTCATGAAAGAGAAGAGGTAGCTTGATGAAAGCCTGTGGAAAAAATCTTTCTGGCAGAAGAGATACTTTGTATCAGGCTAGAAATGCTGCCTCTCCAAAAGGCATAGGGTTGTAAGTATCAGCCATTTAAGAAGGTGACAGTGATACCTGGCCTAAAGAGAAATGCATTTAAAACAGAAGCTTTTAAAAAGACAAAAGAGGCGGAGAAAAGTAATATGCAAGTTTTGAAGGGTTAGACTCTTATCGGTAATTATTTGAAAATTACAAAGAAAAATGCTGCTTGAAAATTAGATTTAAAGATATTTGTGTTGTATGTGTTGACATGTGGTGTTGACAGTTTGTACTTGAAGCTTTACATTTTTGAAGCTCAACATCTTCTCTCATTTAACAATTATTGAGAGCCCACCACATAATTTCTCACAAAAGTGAAAAATTAAATGGATAAAGATTGAAAAAATACTTAAAAATAAACATTGAAATATCAGTCAAAGTTCCCTCCAAAGGTTCCAACATTGGAAAGTTTTCTGTCTGAAAATGAACTGGTTCTTGACAAAAAAAAAAGACATGAAAGAACAACCTTAAGCAAAACTTTGAAGATTGGTTCAGCTTCTACTGGAAAGTAAACAACTGGATACATAACCCTCTCAGAATTGAAATTGGGGAGGTGCCCTTTTGTTTGTCCAAGTAGGTACAAGAGTGCTTGTTGAAGCTTTCTTGAGATGAAACATTATGGTCAGAATTTAAAAGCCATTCGCTAATTGAGTTTTGGATTCTAAAACCTGGAGAGTACCAGAACTTGCAGACAAAGCAGTGAGTTTTCTGATTCCATTTGCTACAGGATTTTCATCACTTACTGCCCTCATGTCCAAATACAGAATCAAAATGAATGTTGAACCTGAACTAAAGCTAAAGCTGACAAACATTACACCTGACTTCCCTGAACCTTGTTCACAAAAGTAGGCACATCCATCACATTAGAAAGGTAAGCCTACTGGTATTAAAATATATGTTGTGAGCCTTTATTTGTACAACAAAATTAATTGAGTTTTTTTATATAACATTTTTATCCAAAGCACTTTACAATAGTTACCTAACAGTATAAACAACATTTGGAAAGATCATTCAGGGTATGTCTACACTACCCCGCTAGTTCGAACTAGCGGGGTAATGTAGGCATACCGCACTTGCAAATGAAGCCCGGGATTTGAATTTCCCTGGCTTCATTTGCATAAGCCGGGCACCGCCATTTTTAAATCCCGGCTGGTTCGAATCCCGTGCCGCGCGGCTACACGCGGCACGAACTAGGTAGTTCGAACTAGGCTTCCTAGTTCGAACTACCGTTACTCCTTGTGGAATGAGGAGTAACGGTAGTTCGAACTAGGAAGCCTAGTTCGAACTACCTAGTTCGTGCCGCGTGTAGCCGCGCGGCACGGGATTCGAACCAGCCGGGATTTAAAAATGGCGGTGCCCGGCTTATGCAAATGAAGCCAGGGAAATTCAAATCCCGGGCTTCATTTGCAAGTGCGGTATGCCTACATTATCTCTGGGTATGTCTACACTACCCTCCTAGTTCGAACTAGGAGGGTAGTGTAGACATACCCTCAGTGATTCACCGAAAACCACAGCAATTCCCAAGTGGTCAATGGAAAAAAAAAGTTTGAGCACCACAGGCCTAAATAATATTACACTAGTAGACAGTGGATGTAGAGACAATCCAACAGCCTCTACTTGCATGGCCAAACTGAAGCAGAAGAGACTACTAACATAAATAAGGGTGGTGGGTCTAGTTTAGCAAAGCTTGGCAGTCATGCTTGCACTTAGCCAACATCTCACAAAACAATATGCAAAAAAACATCTTGAATGAGAGAGGAGATGTTAGCTAGGGCTCCAGTATAGCAAAGCATTTAAACATATGCTGGACTTCAGTGAAACTTAAACATGTACCTAGGTGATTTTGTTGAACTGGGACCTAGAATACCAGTTATCCTTTCATAAAGGAGCTCTTCCTTTCATCTGCACGGCTACTAGAAGCAGACAAAGGAAGCTTAGTTTAATATCTCATGGACAGACAATGGTTGATGTATTTTAATAACTTTATCCAACATTACCTGAGATTAATTTTCAACTGTATTTAGTGGTTTGAGCTAAGCCAGCTAGTTTTACATGATGTGTCCGTTGTTTGGAGACATTCAAGTTACTTTTGTAGAACACATTATCACAGATTTGTAACATGAGACTTACATGATTCTGATGTCATGGAAACTGAGAGGAGAGTAGATAGCAGCATCAAGTGCAGAAGGCCCATCATGTTTCTAAATTGAGAAATAAAAAGAAAGAGTGGATTATGCAGAGTGCTTTCCTATTGCATCCGCAGTACTATCTCTGGAGTACTGATAAAGATGAACATTGATTAAGAGATAACAATATAGGGTGATGATAAACTGGGTCATACAGCCTGCTGATTGCTATTTCTACAGCTTGATTTATAGCAATTGCTTCATTAGCCAATATGAGTTGGAGGTTGACACTGCTATTACAGTTCTTGTTGCTGCTCGCTGCAGTGTTCCTAGTCTCTGTTTGCCAGAAGCTGGGAATGGACGGCAGGAGATGGATCACTGGATGATTGCCTGTTCTGTTCATTCCTTCTGAAGCACCGGGTACTGACTGCTGTCGAAAGACAGGAGACTAGACTAGACAGATTACTGGTCTGGCCCAATATGGGTATTCTTATGGTGAAGAAAAAAAACATATTTTTGCTGATGTTTCCAAAGTTGAGGTTTTGCTAAAAGGTGAATTTGTTCCAAAAGTCTGAGCAAAATCTGTTTAAACAATCCTTGGCTTCTCCAAGCATGAACAATATCTCTGTGCTTTAAATGAAGGCCAAGATTGCCTCAACCCCATGTGCAGATGCATAATAGCAGGTATAGCATAAGGAGCCTCCAAGTCTTGTGTTCCTCATGCAAAGTGGTGTCAGCCTCAGTCCTGGCAATCACCTAACACAAGAATGGTGCAGGAATGTATTACTGCCATTAATGGCATTAAGGACACCGAAAAGAGGAGCAGACATGGGCCAGACAGATGTGCAAGAAAGAGTTGAACACTGCACCCTTAATGGGTGCAGCAGCAGGCCTATTCCCATTACAGGCTGTACCAGAAAGTTCCAGAGACTTCACTGTGCCTGCTAGAACTCACACTGAGCAGCATGACTTAGCACTTCCCCAATAAAATACTTTATTAAGGGGGAAAGGATGTAATGTGTACACACATATGAAGATTTGTAAACATAGCCATGCCCTACATTGAACCAGACAAGGGGCTTGTGAATTAGCAAATTAGAATTTACATCACACTCCATATCAATCAGTGACTAGCGTAGTTCAGGAAAGCTAATGATACAACTAGGAGTCCAAATTGTGAGATGAATCCTGCTCACATGCCACCTCAGGCACTTTGCCCATTCACTAGGAAGAAGCAGCCAGACAACATCTCAAAAGAGAGAATAAGTACAGTCCAGCTAAAGTTGGCAGCCTGAAGAGCTTCATGTATCACTAGAGCAGATCAAAATTCAGCACTTCAGTTTTGTAAAGAAATTTGACATTTCAAAGATTTTTGAAATTTCCTATGAAAGGGTATGTCTATACATCAAAGTTAATTCGAAATAACAGCTGTTACTTCGAATTAGCTCTACTAGCGTCTACGCAGCCAAATAGCTATTTTGAAATAAATTCAAAATAGTGGAGCACGTATTTCGAATTTGGTAAACCTCATTCTATGAGGAATAATTCCAAATTCGAAATAGCTAATTCGAAATAAGGGCTGTGTAGACACTTATTTCAAAATAGGGGGCCTCCAGCCTTCCCAGGGTGCCCTGGTGACCACTCCAGCCTCAACCAAGAACACTCCTCTCCCTCTATTTTGAAATAAATTCAAAATAGTGGAGCACGTATTTCGAATTTGGTAAACCTCATTCTATGAGGAATAATTCCAAATTCGAAATAGCTAATTCGAAATAAGGGCTGTGTAGACACTTATTTCAAAATAGGGGGCCTCCAGCCTTCCCAGGGTGCCCTGGTGACCACTCCAGCCTCAACCAAGAACACTCCTCTCCCTCCCCTCTCCTCCCTCCCTCCCCAGAGCCCTTAAAGGGGTTAACTCTGGCCACAGTGCCTGTGCCAGCTCCAAGCCTGCCAGCCCAGAGCCAGCAGTCACTGCCCCTGACCCAGTGGCCCCAAAACATGAGCCA